GTGAGCAGACTCTCCAGGTGGTGGTGGCAGTGGTGTTACGAAAATGAAAGAACAAGCTTGATTGATCTTTTCCATAGATAGGAAATAACTTAGAGCAGGACTGAAATCAGCTTTGTAAGACCAAAAATGACAGTTAAAAAGATACCAATATTTTAGTTCTCACCACTGTCTTATGCAGATGTCTGTAAAGCACCACTGACCCAGTACAGCGTGAAGTGTTTTCCCCCTTTCCAATCTGTGGTTCAGAAAGTCCCAGGCAGTACTTTTGTTCTTTGAGGAAAGGAGCTGCACCAGCTGGGAAGATCGGTGGGTCAGCAGGCACAGGTATGATGCTGATCAAGGCCCAGTAGAGCTGTACTTCTGCAGTGACAATTTACCTCTCAATAAATTTGAGAATTACAGAAAAACTTTAAAATATAGACAGTTTTTGTGCCAAGAGGTAAACGGGCCTACGGCCCAGTAAGAATGACACAATAACAAGGAGAATCATTTGTAAATCAACAGCTTGCAATTTAAAAAAATAAATAAATAAAATTCTATAGCATGCAGCAAATATTTGTGGTAGAATTTTCACATGGTTTTCGTTCTGTTCCTCATTACCACTATTTCCCGTCTGTTTGCTACAGATTATTATTCACAGCTAAAGACACTACCTCCAAAAAACATTGTTCCAATAAGGACTTCTAGTCCTTTACACAAATAAATACATTAACCAATACTATTCAGACCTAGTGATTTCAATTTAAAAGATGAAAATGTGTTTAATCCGACAGAGAACATATCAAATGTTCACCTTCTAGAGGGCAAAAATTAGAAAAAACAAACTACAGCAAAAAAAGGCCAAGGGTGGAGGAACAGCTGTATGGCCAGAGCCAGGCCCACCTGCCCTGCACACATACCAGCTACCTGGCAGACCATGCAATGAGGCTTCTGGCAATGAGAGATCAAGGAAGCAATCTGCTTAATACTAACGTAAGCATAACTAATATTTATCAGGCTGGAGAAAACCTAGGGGACTTCAATATTTCAGCATTATTCTTATTAATATAGACATTAACTTGCATTGTGCAACAATGTAGACTCAGGCTACTTTGCTACCAGCATCACTGCTGCCAACATCTGAGGCTAGAGATCCTAGACAGTGGCCTAGACATGGCTAAGATCCACAAGATCTAATTTACTTCAATGCTTTTAAATAGAAGCGGGTTGATAACAGCCTGAAATACTCAATAGCTGAGCACTGGGTGGGTCAGTGTTTATCTTAAGTACTTTTCTTTAAGGAGATAAGATAAAGTAATTTGACAAATTGATAATATTGTCAGCTTCCACGAGTTAATTATGGGTGATATCTGACATTTATCTGAAAGCTCTATCTCCTGGAAATAACTGGTTATATAAAAACATTTGTCTACTTTGTTAATTTTTGTCACGGTCAGAAAAATAAGCCCAAGAATATTAAAATATGATCACCAGAAAGATTCAGGCAACAGAAGCAAAATAAGAACATTCCACCCATTGTTTCAGGGAAGTCTTTCTCATTTCAAAGGAGATTTCATTTTGAGGACTTGGAACAATTGTTTCCAGCTATCTGTCTGTGACTATACCCACCAGCCCATTTGAGGAATTCCACTGCATCTTTGCCCACTTCTGTGGAAAGAATGCACATACCACATAATGGCCTCTGCAGCACTCAAGACCAAACGTCTGCATTCAAGTGCAAGGGATAACTTTAGTTTCCAGACAATACAGCCCAATTTATCTGATAATTCAGTGTTAAAAATATTTGATATTACAGGTTACGTTGGCTAGGCGAGCCCAGTGAAGGAGCTTGTGGATGTGAGAGTGAGTAGGACAAGAAAATAGAATCCCTGTTTTACTGTTGGCACTTCTGAAAGTCCCTTTGGAGATGCTCATTCAGCAGAAAGATAGAACTTCCTACTTTTCAAGGCAAGAAGACATGAAGTATGACATACGTATCAGTGACAAGTGATGATGTCAAAAGCCTCCAAGTATTTTATTTTAAACCTCTTCGTTCAACCACTGCATGTTAGGGCCATCATGCATAAATGGATGTAGATAGTGCAGTGCAATGTTTTTCAGGGTAATAACATGTAAACAAAAAATGACTTTAGATATTGAAAGCAATGCAGCAAAATTAACATTAGACAAGCCCAGGACAATGACTCCTAATAATGAGCAGGATAAATGAACGCCATTAAGGCTGTCTGGTTCAGTTCTCTGACTATCCTCATGCATCCCACTTACAACCACTTCATTTATTTATTCAAGTAAATGCCAACTTCGGGCTGCAGTAGAAGAAAATTCCTATCAATTAATCAATCAGGTAGTAATATAGGAAGTATCAGCATCAAAGCAATACCCGTCTTCCACTCAGCTTTCCCCCGACTCATATTGAATATCAATGCTCAAATTCCAATGAAACTCAACTCTAATAAGCTCCTGTATCATACTTCTACATTTAATTTTTCCACTGCATAGTGTAAGCACTACCTAGTTTACCCAATTATGATGCAGTTAGGAAATAAACAAGGAGAGAAGGCACCAGCAAAGAGGATTCTTCTACACAGGTACACCATGTGTGTTAGGAACAGCACCGCTGAATCGGTGGGAATGAACTGGTTCTTAACTTCTGCTAGAGAGCTCACGCCACACAGTGTACATAACTTGCTCAAGGAGCCATATCAACACGAACTCTGGAAAGGATATTTTTAAATCAAATAGATTAAAATATTGCAAGCAGTAGAAATATTACTGCCAACCCGTTTCTTTTTTAATGATCACAGAAGTGAGCAGGTAAATTGATGAATGCAGGAAAGCAATGAGGACACAATATAAGCAAGATGTAGTATTTCTAGTATTTCTTCATTTACATCAAAGCTAAGCTGGTGTCATAAAAAATCTGACATGCATGGGTCCACACTGAACCCAAGTAAAAAACGGAAGGAAAAATTGTGCAAGGACAGGACAAAGCAGCAGTTGGGAATGATATAAAACAATTCAGAAAGTATCAGTTAATACTGGTAAAATTCTTTGGAAAATAGTCTTTACATTCACACAATTTTGACAAAATCTTTAGCTTCTGGCTTACTTGACTCACTATAACTTAAATGTGTGTTTCTGAATAGAACCATGAAAAGAACAGTTCAGATTATTAAAGATGTGCATGGTGAATAAGAGACCAGGAGGAAACATGAGTATCAGAAGCCAGTATCCCTGTGTGGGGAAAAAAAAAAAAAAGAAAAGGGCAACAGTACATAGTTGAAAAAATCAAAATGAAATATGTAAATGATTTGAATTGAAATGGAGAATTTCTCAAGAAGATGTAGGTTTCCTAAAAATATGAGGCAGTTTAATGTAGTGTCAGAGATGAAGCATTCCAAGTGATTTAAAATGTGGTTTTGGGGACACCCTTAGGGATGCAAATCAGAAGTATTCCAAGAAGGTAATTAACAAAATTTATCAGAGTAAATTCCATCAACAGCAGTTAGATTTGCTGGTCAGGATGCAACTTCTTAATCTACAAGTTCCTATATCAGTAACAAACTGTGGGAGACTAATAACAGGAATCATCCCTCCAAACTTGATAGAACCCGTCAACTTCTGCATCTGACATACAAAATCAGTACTGGAAAAAAATATGCTTTTCACAGTAACTGTTTGATGCAGGATTCACCTGTAATGGTAACAGTATTCTACATTTAGTGCTTTTACAATGTGTCAGAAGTGTGAAATAGGAATTCTAGTGAATTGTTTTTGAACAAGCACACTGTCAGTGAGATCACGTTCACCGTGCTTTCTTCATCGTGGTAGATTCAAATAGGAATTCATAATTTTCTTGTTTCAAAGATGAGTGTGAAAAATCAGCTTATGAATAAATTCAGATCAGAAGCTGTGGAGAATTTTACTCAATTTTTCTGGAAGATATTAAAAAAAACTATTTAACTTTGGTTTTAATTTCCACTGCAGTTTCTAACCATTTTATCAATTTAAATAGATTTAGCTGCCTATATAAATGTTTACTCCACTCTAGCTCTACAAATAGTATTCAACTAGAGAAAAAACAAAAGTGTTGGTTAATAACTTGTTGAATTATTAATCTGCATGTCAATATACTGAAATTTCTGGGAACAACTGATTATGCAAGGAAGTCTAGGCTTTCATAACTTCAAAAACAAATCAAAATGAAATTTAGGCTTTAGATTCATCGTACCTTTTCTCCCTCAGATAACACAGCTTCAAAACAGGTGTATTTTCTTTCTGCTAAAATTAGCATATCAGCAATAAAAGCCAAGAGAGAATCAAAAATCGATTGTTTTTGAAGTACATAAATTCAGATGCATATAAATGAATGCAACCACTGTTCTGATGATTTTATCTACATTATCTTTAAGACGACACACAAAATTAACCCACAGTATTTCTCAGGCTCAAATAAAATATTTATTTTTACATAGAATTAGCCCCTAATAAACCAAACTTCCTGTTTTCTGGCCTACTCTCCATATCTTTATGGCACTGCTCAATACGGACCAGTGCCATTAAGAATACCTTCTAAGGATGTAGTTCTGTTCCCTGAAGACTGGGTTTCAGGTCTGGAGGCATACCATACTACTGCCATAGAGGTAACAGTTCCATAATTAGATGAATCTGTTGGGCAGCCCAAAGAAAGTTCATCTTGCATTTTTTTTTTAAGGGGGAAGTGAAACAGCCAGATTGAAACTCATCCACTTTATAGATGCCATTTGACTTTATCACCTAGATTTCAGTGGGACTTCTCTAAAGCACAGCAAACAACCTGTTGCTACAGTTACAGAGTTCACTGGGACACAAATCATGAGGCCAGAATCATTCTGCTTTCTTGAAATTCAAGCTCATGTATCTGGTGATGTACAAGAGTTTTAGTTACAAAAAATGTGATGCAATTCCTCTCACAAAAAAGGAGTGCCTGCGTCACTCAACATTTGATTTGCTGCTACTGCCAAAGGCAGAAAATAATAAATGCCAGAGAGGAATCAACACAGATCCTTCATTTAATCATCTTTATTCAGCCTTGTAACCAGCAGCAAAGGTTGCAAATATTAAGGTGAGGCACCACAACAAACTATCAAAATTGGGCAGAAAGCAACAGGGAGAGGTTCCCTGATGGTCAAATGGCTTAACCTGCTCAGTTTCTGCTGCTTCATTTTCCCCAACAAGGAATGCAAAAGCAGGCTGACTACCTCTAAAAGGAAAGTGAAAGCATACATCCTTACAACTTGGAGGTGTATTTCTAGAATCTGTGACACTCGTGACAAATATGCTTTCAATTATTATGTAGGTGAAGCTGTATGCTAAGTGTCCTTTCATTTCTTTTTTAGCTACAAATGGAAACTGTCAGACCTTTCCAAAGAATTGTGAGAAGACAGTCTTCACTCAAGGTATGAGGCAAACAAGCCTAGTTTCATTCACCTCTCCTTAGAAGCTTAAAAGCTATGCTCTTCTTCAGGATCTGGTGACCAAAAACGTACAAACTTGATCTACCTTATTTTACATGGCCCCAGTGTGGAGGGAAGATTTTAGCCTATCAGTCTCTTACATGTGACTTAGAAGAAGAAACTGACCCAGTACACCTCCTGACACACTCAAGGACCCTCAGAAATTAACTGAGGAGAGATAAAACGCAATGCTGAGAGCACTAGTCACACACCTCTAACACTAAAAATAAGTGAAGTTGCAAGAGTACCTGCTAGTATTTGAATTCCTTTTCTCTTCTAAGAGAAAACTTGAATATTAGTAGAGGTATCCTGTGACTAAATCAACTGAGGATTGTATCATGTTACATAGATGCTGAAGGTGATTTTCAGTGAATCCATCAAATCCATCTTCATCATTTGACTAATACTCAAAGGAACTGAAAACACAGTTCCAAAGACTGAAAAAGATTTTGCAAAGACAAATTCCTACTGTTTTAAAATTAAGTAACAAGGCAAACTTTCAGTCATCACGGAAATGTAAACTTGGACTATCATTATAAAGACAGAAAAGAGAGAGATGGAAAAGGCTGAGAGCAAATGGACAAACATGTCCTACCGCTCAGCAAAGTTGTCAGACAAGAGATGGTGGGAGGAAGAATTGATGAACTGTCACAGTATGACAAATAAGACCTCTGTTGGATGTATTGATTCTGAACAGAGAATGACTCATGGATCTACTCAATTTTCACTTCATTTGAAGACACTAAAGTACTTGAACAAATCACAGATGCTGCCAAACAAGTCAACGAAAAAAACAGTTTTCCATGCATGACTTGATTTGGGGCAAATTCATTAATAAATGCTTGTTTTGCAGGACAGCTCATACAGAAGTGCTTATGTTTTGTACCAAGTATCACTGTCTCGCTAGATCTCATACGCATGTAGTACACTAGAAACAGACTTAATTACTGGGAAAAGTTCCTAAATGACAATCTGGGTACATTAGTACCTGAATTTGTCTACTACGTGTAAGCACACTTCTTTCATTCTTTGACCTCCAAATACATTCAGTACATCAGACACGCGAGAGAAAATTTTGCTTGTAGTTTAACTCAAATACTGTAAGTTCCAATAGCTTTTTTTTTTCCCCTTACATCATGGTGCAAGAGAATTCAAAGAAACAAAGTTATACTCCAAAACTGACTGGAATTAATAATGATGGGTTACTGCATCCCTGTACTTTTCCTCCTCTTTTTTTTCCCACTTTAAGAGCTGTATTTTTAATCTTCATACATGAAGAAAGAGCCTAGACATTGTGAGTAAGGTTCATATCAAAAACAGTAGTTCTGAGCTGAATTCACAAAGAATAATTCTTTAAATTATTTCAACTCCTTAGTCTTTTCTTTTTTTTAATACATTTAAAAATTAATAAATGTAAAATTTAATAAGACTATTCACTATTTGCCTGTAGGTTAGCATCCTTCATCCTGTTTTACTTCTCTATTCCAGTGGAAGTCTTCCCACTGTCAGCTTTCCCTTACAGGCTGCAACCTCTTTCTTCTCTTTCTTTTCCATGCTGCCAAGGACGGAGAGCACAGGTATAACTAACACAAAACCACTGGAACAACTAAAACTGTAATACTACATTCAAACTTTGACAAAATTTGAAAACTAATTAACATGAAAAACAAATGCAGTAACCAGTGATTGTTATGCTACTTGTGACCACATAGTTCATCTAGTCATACAACCTTTCTCCTGTTGTTAAATCTCCATTCAGCAAGTTTGCTATTTCCCCCTAGCAGAGAGAGGAAGTATCTACCAGGTAAATCTCAACCCTCTGCCTGTCCTAGAGCTGCCCCCAACAGGAACAGTCACAGCTTTTTTTCCTGTGGAAGGCTGTGAGAGATGCAGAAAGGCAGTTTTGGTGGCTCTTCCTCCCAGCTGCTGCTGTGGGGAGGAGGTGTGGTAGAACTGGCTGCCAACTGCTGCCACCAGGCTGGGATGAGAGGGGAACAGCAAGAGTCTGGCTTTGTCAGCTGTTGTACAAGCCTACTGTAGTTTGCATGGGAATTATATGAACTTGTGTAGTCCATTTACAGAAATTCCAATTAAGTTTGGAAGCAACCACTTTGAACTCCATGCCAAGAGCAAGAACTATTCCTTTGTGCTTAATGAACTCAATCTGGAAGTATTTTACCAATCTTTTAGATGTCTGAGTTCAATACAGAGATCAGAGTAAAAAGCTAGGGTTGATCAGGCCTAAGTGGCTGAACTGTTTGAAGAACGGAATTGTGAGTTTGCTTTGATCTATTCCAGCACACATTTGAAACATGTATATGTATGTATATATTTTTTTTTCATATATATTCAGTTATGTCAAAGACCAGCTGGGTACAGCTATGAGGGGAGATGGCTGCACACCTCATTTACAACAAACTAATTTCGATGTAAATTAAAAATAGTGAAGCCCTTTCCGTATCATGCTTGCTTCCTACCTCTTACCTCCTGCTCCTACAATCCAGAAATAGTTGGAAAGAGCTCAGCAGAGCTTCCACACTCCCCTGCCACAAGGGAAGTGGGATGCTTCAGAGCCTTGGTATCCCTGCACGCAGTTAGATTCCCCTCACTTCTAGGGAATACTACAGAAAACTGATAAACCAGAAAAAGTGCATTTAAAATTATGCAACATTTTTGTTTAACAAAAGACCTGCGCAGCTAATGTGTGGAAATTCCCTCTCTTGACCTTTACAAGGTGAAAGGCAGAAGCACTGTAGGGAGTCAGGGCAGCAAGGGACAGGGAATTCCAACTGATACTGTGTTAGCTGAGGATTTATGTCATTAGATACATCTGGATTAACTTAAAGTCACAACACAGCCCCAGTGACCTTTGCTTAGTCAAACAGCAAGGCTTTTTCAGTTTCTATTGCAAAAATGCTAGTTTATAAACTGTGACTGACTCATCAAGGCAAAGACATCAGGAGCAGTCTTAAACAGGAAGAAAATATAATGCACAGAAGACTGCAAGAAATACATGACTCAACTATTTCACACTTTATGGGATTCTGTTTCTGCTGCTTGGATTAGCAGAATAATTTCCACTCTATCATACCTTTTAATTAGAATTAATTTTAATGTCTAATTTAAAGTGATAAGCTAAGTTGCAAAGGGTTGAAAAGAGGTACTGCTAATACCTAGCGTGGGAGTTTTATAGTGACTGCCTTCAAAAGACATCTTCTCAACGTTCTATTCCTCTACAAATTGTTTGACCCCACCCTCATGCTCCCCCCTCTTTTGTCAGTAATTGATGCAGCTGCATAGTGATGTGCATCAGGAAAAACAGCTCTAGTTTAAAAATCAACCTGGCAAAAAAAAAAAAAAAAAAAAAAAAAAAGGATTATAATTACAAAGTGACCATAACGTGTAATAGAGAAATTACCACAGAATATTCCTGTAAATCTGCTAAGTCAATAAGATTCATCATGCTCTGTTAAGTGCTAGTTGTGAAAACTGAAGGTCCCCATGGCTTCTGGAAGTCACATATCTCATTCTAAAGAACACCGGAATACTTTTGGGATTAAATGAGTAAAAATCATTCCTTCAAGTTCTGCTGTTTTGTCTTTTCTTCTCATCCCACAAACAAGATACTTGTGTCTCCCCCACATACCCAGCCACCTTCCAGGATGCTTACAAAATGCATAAGTGGAATTACAAATATTAAGCTGTTTGAAAAACAAAGTAGTATTTTTACCAATGTTTTCTAATTTCAGTAATCTCACTAAGAGTTAGCTAGTTGTTCTTCAGCACCACATTCACATTTCCTACAACTAAATCTAAAAATGGCACAGTATTTTTTGTTAAATTTAAATAAAGACAAGAAAGCATCAAAATTGCCACATAGATTTTATGCCACCTCCCACATTTGACAGTGACTTATATTCTGGTATTCTCTCTAAATTGTGTTACAAGTGGTACAAAAAGCCAACAGTTTACACATACATTTACAGAGAACAGCAATCTCATTTGCTCTTCTACCCATCATAGCATATTCCTTGTAGGCTGGAAACAGGTATACCATGCAGCATCCTGACTAACTTTGACAGATGCTGTAGTAAACCCTTGAGAAGAGCATAGATGATTCCCACCTGGAGATATAAAATAATTTAACTTTTTCCAAATAAAACATGTTGTGTTGTCCAGCTTTTAACACAAGTTCTTGGAAATATGCTCCTGTATTATCATTTCTCAGGACAAGCACAGAAGGTCTAAACCAGAGAAACACTAAAGAGTCACAACACGCTCCTCTAAATCGGCCATTCTCACCATGATGGACATCCAGTTCGACCTCAGCAGCCTTCGCTGTCAACTTTATCCTTCCCACTTCCTTCAACCTTTCTTGCATGTATTTCTTCATTTCATCCTCTCAGTTCTGCCCTTTGAGCCCCAGACCTGCTACTCTGTACCTTGCCAGTCAGCTGTTTCTGCTGTGATGATGGCAGCCTCCAGCAAGGTAGTGGCATCACGAGCCCTCAAAGGGCAGCCTACAGCCAGATAAACAGTCACACACAGGGAGCCATTCTTGCAAAGTTGGCCTATCTTTCCCTTATCCAGAGGCAAAGTTTGGAGGCAGAAGAAAGAGTTGCACTGTTCTGCATTGCTCATTCTTTTTCTTCTTTTCCTCTGTTTAACAGTTGCTGTCCTGTTATGCAAGGCAGAAAGCATACATACTCTCCTAATTTGTAAGTACCTAGGACTTATGAGGAATTCAACCTGTACCAACACAGAATCATCTAAATGGAAAGCTGATGTCTCCATATTGCCCTCCTGGAGCTGCCTGGCATGGCAGATCCTAACGTCTTTCCAACAAACACAGGAGAAGCCAGGAAGGAAAACGTAGCTTATGCTGCTCAACATGCCAATATCTCCTAGAAAGACTTCTGACCAGAAATCAGCAGTAACCAATTTGACTCTTCACCCCATTGCCTACAGTCACACAGACTGGAGGGGTTGGAAGGGAGCTCTGTAGAAATCAAGTCCAAACACCACTATGAAATCACAATAGATCACACAGGAAGGAGTCCAGGCAAGCCTTGAATATCTTCAGAGAGTTCACTGAATACTCAGGACTTCATTCAGAGCTCCCACACTGGTACAGGCATGAACCAGTGCTGGACATCAACAAGCCAACAGTTCATTTCTCTTCCCCCCTTGACAGCATGAATCTGTCTTTATAGGTCTAAAAATACTGTGCCACTGCACACTGCCTAGGAATCTTCTCAGGTAATCAACTCTTCCCCATCTTCCATACAAACTTGTAAACTTCCTTTCCTATTTTCACACTAAGGACACACTCCTTTTCATGAGCCAGAGTCTCATGAAACTTCACCACAGCTCTCAGACATCTTTCAGCAGGTTTATCTAGCTCCTAGCTCAACCACTTTTATCTCTATATAAGAGAGGATATCCTGCCTCTTCTGAATAGTTTTAAAGTAGTTCTAAGAACTAAAATGCTTTTCTTGTAATTGCTAGAAGTAAATTAAACTTTCAAACTCTTTGTAAAGTTTGGCTTTAGAAGACATACCCCAAGTTGGAAGGAAACCATAAGGAACACTGAGTCTGACTTCTGGCTCCCAAAAATCAAAACATACATCCGACAGTGTTGTCCAGACACTTCTTCAACTCTGACAGCTCAGTGTCAAGACCACTGCCCTGGGAAGCCCGTTCTATACCCATCACCCTCTGGTAAAGAACCTTTCCCTAACCCCCCAGTCTGACCCTTTAATGACACAGCTCCATGCCATCCTTTGGGTACTGTTAGCAACTGCTGTAGCAGAGCTCAGTGCTGCCCTCCACTCCCTGTGAGGAGCTGCAGCAATGACGCTTCCCCTCAGCTCTGGGGTGAACAAACCATGAGACCTCAGCTGCTCCTCATATGTCATCCCCTCTAGAACCTTCACCATCTTCCTAGCCCTATTTTGGATGGTCTCTAATAGTTTTATTTCCCATAATTACTAATTTAAAATAGATCTTGAATGGGACAAAAGCAACAACAATAAAAAACATGAAGCCATTTCTTAGTGAAATACTAAAAAAGGAGTATCAAGAATTCTCAAAAATGGGCACTGGTAAAGAGACAGCATTATCCTAAAAATCACCAAAGTATAGAAAGAAATGAAGCTTGTTTGCCCCTTGCTACTACAGGACTCAAATGCTTAAGACAACAGAAACCAAAATGAAATTGAAACTTGTACAGGATACAGTTTGAAATAAGAGTTATTTCAATATATGAGCATAACTGTACTAGACCAAGTCTTCTATATAGTACATTTATTCTGTTCCCTATTATGAAAACAAATACAATATATGTCCTAATAAAGTTAGGCCTATCTCTGAGCATGACACACTAAGGGAAATTCAGGTATGATTTTATTTGACTAATACAGTCAAATATGTAAGAACCACCATCTTTCATCTAATTGTTTTAATCTGCAAAGTCTAGATAGTCTTTGAATTTCACTGTAATATGTGCTACAAAAATGTTTGCTCATTTTCTCAAGAGGGTAAGTAATAATGAGGTACTAATTGTTCTGCCATCAGCCTAAGCATACACATAATCCTTAATTAATATTTAACCAGCACTTACATTTTCACACTGCACCTTTCTGGGCATTATATGGGAAATATTGAGTCCATCAATAACGATATCAAACGGAAGTCGATTTTCCACAAATGTTTGAAAGGCTTCAAATTCCTGAAATAAATCAACAAAAGGATATGGGAAATAGTAGGTTTCATTTAATAAAAATAGTTTTCATTCAATTTTTATTATAAAAAACAGTCAATCAAAGAAGCCTCCACTAAATCTCTCAATTTTCTTACTTGCATATTTGAAAAAACAACAACACAGGCAGAAAAACTTTCAGAAGACATAAATGTTTCATTGGATAGTTTTGACATACTTTTAAATTACATTACTATTGAAAACCAGAACTTTGCAGTTGTCCAGATTTTAACAATTATAATCTGCATCACACACTTTTATAAGGATGCATGTTACAGTCGTTTTTACAGAACAGCTTCAAAATAAAGCAAATTTACACCCCAGGAGACTGTGACACTATCACTAATGTTTCCAAACATAAAATAAGCAGCGTTCTTAATTTCTCTGTAAGAATCTTGAAATCACCAAATGCTAGTCTCTGAATAACAGGTTTGTATTTACATAAGCATTCATTTACAAGCACAGGCCTTTGTTTCTGAAAGATACAGTTTTAAGTCTAACAAACCAATGAATTCCTTATTATAACAGAAACATAACACAGTGATTAAGCAAACAAACAGCATCAATCCTGGGTGGTATTGGTTTGTTATTTTTCTTTCCTCCAACAGAAGGAAAAATCACAATTGCTTTATGCCCGAGATCCCAAAGGAAGAGAGTAGAAAGTTGCAATAAAGCCTTCATGAATCTGTGATTTTATTTTTAAGACTTAGTGTTTTTAGCAGACACCTGCATTACATTTCAATCTCATGTTTCTGACTGATTTTAACAGAATTGTCAACCGTAACCCATCTAGGTGAGCAGTTCCTAACAGGCTCTTCTGTTAAAGATAAAGCCTATTTCTTGGGAAATAGAGGTTTCAGTCTAAAGCTACAATAATCTCACAGGAACTCACAACAATCACAAATCTAATCTCTGCTGCTAGGAATTCAAGAACCACTCCTCCAACCTTCATTTCTCCTGTGTATCCACATAGCCATATAGGGATCTAAAGAACTATAAGCCGTGTCCACCACATGAAAAAAAAAACGTGCACATACAATAAAAAACAGCACATACAATTCTTTCTTCAGGAAAGAAGCATAATAAAGAATGTATCTGCTCAAAAAGCATACTGCTGTCAGGCAGCAACATACGATCACCAACTTCAAATTTAGTTGGAATGTTTATGACAAATTATAATACAAAAAGGATTACTTGTATTAAGAGCACAAACAGACCAAGTGAGATAAGAATGCCTCATTCAGACATTAAAATTTCAGGTATAAATTCTAAGTGAACAGACCTGTACCAATCAAAAGCACACTGGTAAAAACATAGACAACGTGGCTCAGCCTGGTATCACCAGAATCAACTGCCTTTCAGGGGATCTTTTTACTTCTCCACAGCTTAAATAAATATCATTTAGAAAGAATAAGAAATAAGGCAAGAAAGCTATAACCACTAACAAACTGTTGACACCTGTAAAGTGTTTCTCCCCTCCCAATCTCCAGACATTCTATATAGACAAATAAATATTTCCATTGCCATCTGAGGGACAGGGACATCAAGACTCAGATAGGACATCACTAGCAATGGCATTGGAGAGGGGTGGGGAACAGGAAGAGAGGCAATTGAGGTAAAAAAAAGATCCCTGGCTTCCCAGCAGAACTCCTCATGGTTCAAAATAAGGCAAGTCGTTGCTGCAACAATGGACAGCTGTCTGAAATGAGAAGAGTAAAAAGAAGGAAACAGAGAGAAAAAAGGCAAAATAAGAAAGCCTGGAGACAAAGATAAGAAAAGACAAAGAGGAAGCAAATGAAAATACATGGGAAACACTCCAACAGGGCATTATTTTTCCAGTGCCAACAAATACCAATGTTACTGGGAGCAACACTAACAGTCAAGTAGATGTTTTTAGAAAACATGGTGTACTTGTAATCTTGTCTTTCAGGGCTCCATTCCCTACAAAATAAACACTTAGTGAAGACTTTTCACAGGGGTATTTTATTTCAAGTGACAATAGCTACAGAGCAGTTCCTTAAGCAAGTGGATCACCCCAATGGCAGAGAGTTTTGTCAAGCAAGCACTGCAGCACAGGCACTGGAAGAGCCACAGAGGAGCTGGGTGTTCTCTCCACACCCTGTGCTTTGCTCTTCCTCCTCTCCCAGAGGGGCAGATGGAGCAGCACCTTTCAGAAGCCAACTTTGGCTCTCTGTGGTTCACTTTCAGAGCAGGAAAGAAGCTGCATCCTGTATGGTCACTCTCTCAACCACCCTACCCCACCACCTCTCTCTCCAACCTCAAAGGCCTGTTTTGTTGTGTTGCCAGCAGCCTCCAGATCTGCACTGTTCTTTTGCCTCATTACCAGTAATCTATGCAATACAGCATATAAGAGCACATGAGAAAACACTCCCAATACCAGGAGACAATGTAATACAGTTGGAAGAGAAGGCTTGCTGCCACAGGAGATTTAGTCACACAAGCAGAAGTGAGGAGTTAACATCAGAATAAGTGCAGAAGACAAAAGGCCAAATTCACATCCCCAAATTCAGAAGACTACAATGATAAGCCTCAGAGAGACTAGAAAAACCCCAAGAATCTGTTCACTTTCTCCATTCCATCTATGTTTCCCCAGCAACACAGAAGATTACTCCTTTCCTTTCAGGAAAACAAAACAAAATAGCCAATTACCTAAAAGAACCACATAGAAGATAACTCAGATCTCCTTCCCTGAACAAAAGAGAGGGATGCCATCCAGGGAGACCTGGACATGCTCAAAAAGTGGGCACATGAGAATCTAATGGGGTTCAACAAGACCAAGTGCAAGGTGTTGCACTTGGGTTGAGGCAATCCCAGATATCAGTACAGACTGGGAGAAGAACTCACTGAGAGCAGCCCTGTTGAGAAGGGCTCAGGGGTCCTGTTGGACAAATAGCTGGACACAAGCCAGCAGTGTGCCCTTGCAGCCCAGAAGGCCAACAGTATTCTGGACTGCATCTAAAGATGGGTGGTCAGCAGGATGAAGGAGGTGATTGCCCCCTTTACTCCTGCAGTACTGCTTGGGGCCCCTGCATAGAGGAAGGATGTGGAACTGTTAGAGTGGGTCCAGAGGAGGGCTACAAAGATGATCAGAGGGCTGGAGTGCCTCTCCTACAAAGAAAGGCTGAGGGAGATGAGCTTATTTAGCTAGGAGAAGAGAAGACTCTGGGGAGATCTCATTGTGGCCTTCCAGTACTTGAAGGAAGCTTACAAGCAAGAGGGGGACTGATTTTTTACATAGTCTGATAGCAACAAGACAAAGGGCAATGGGTTTAAACTGAAAAAGGGGAGATTGAAGCTAGATACTAGAAAGAAGATTTTTACTTCGCAGGTGGTGAAGCACTGGAACAGGCTGTCCAGAGAAGTTGTGGATGGCCCACCTCTGGAGGCGTTCAAGGCCAGATTGGATGGGACACTAGGCAGCCTGATCTGGTAGGCAACCCTGTCCATGGCAGGGGTTAGAACCATAACCTTTTACGGTCCACTCCAACCACATGACCAATGTGACTCTATGAAAGAGAGTCCAAGTTGTCAGATTTCCCATCCTCTCCAGGCTTAGGGAAGGGAAAAGGGCAAACCCTGGGAATTAGCAGCAGGCTACACCACCCTAATGCAGTACAAAGGGTTATTCAAACACACAAGCACTGACCTACATTAGAAGAGATACAGTATAAAAATTGAAAGATGCTGATCTTCCAAAGATCAAGAATTGTCTGGGCTTTATCCAGCTGTTACTTACAGCTACAGTAATCAAGAGATGATTCACCCATAATTCTCTCAAGACATTCCCCTCACTAACCATCTGGAAAAAGAAATTGAAGATCTTCCTTATGAAATGTAATTAAGCAGAGCACAGCTGTAGCTAAGCTACAACCTATCAAGAGAAGCCAGACACAAAATTCACCAGTACAGTACAGTAATGACATGAGGGCCAATTTAGACAAAAGAAATTGTGCTACTCAAACAAGCTTCTCCTTCCACACTGAGAACCTGATCTGCATGCAGCAGTGTTTGCCAGAAGGGAGATAATGAACACAGGAAGACCAAAAGGAACATTTAGATGAAGATGTCCTGCTGAATACAACAGGGTACACTCCTGCAAAACCCTGCAGGACACCAACAAGTAGCAGAATATCTCTCTTCACATACAAGGACACTCAAACAAACTCTAGACACTACACCAATTTCTAACTTGTGTTCATCTCAAGAAGCTGCTGAGGAAAAGTTTATCTTAATGCAAGGGAGCCACAGAAAAGTACCACAATAAGCTGTACAGCAATTCCATCATACTTGCTGCCAGATATTTTGCAGCAGTCTGTGTACCTGATGAGCATCCCTCACTGCAGCAGGACTGTGGAGAGCCTACAGAAGGGAGGTTCCAGTCATAGCCTCTTAGATACTATGTTCAAAAGAAAAGGGAACTGGAAAAAGAATACACTCAATTTCATTCACTGCCTGGCTGGGAAAACAGGGAAATGCTAACTACACAGTCAGCAGAAGTGATTCACAGCCATTTCTATTAAGAGAGCTTATGTTTGCAAATGGATATGGCAGTGACTACATCAGTTCTTCACTAAGTCAGCCATAAAAATCCACCGTGGAATTTATCCTTACACAAAGAAGGCATTTGAAATATTTGTTTGATTATCCACTAGCATTTGGGTGGCCAAAATCCATTCATACTTCAGCAACAGCACAAAGTGAATTCAAATTTTTAGGTACTCCACACCATCTGGATGTCCCATGCTCTCTTTCACCATCTTTTTCTTTTTTTCACCGGCACGTACTGATGCTAACACAGAAATAGGCGTTTCTATCTTTTCCCTTCCCTCAGCCATTCATTCCTAACTCTCGTCTACCTATGCAAACAAGTTTGCTGGAGCAACAAGGAAGACAGGAGCAGATTAAGAACTTACCTCACATGAGCTGAGTCAACGGAACAGCCTGGTTCCCCTGCTCAGGTCAGTCTGTATCGCACAGCAGCAGACAGCACAGATTAGGGGTGAGGCCAAGAGCAGGTGAGGCTACTGTAATCATCAGGTAGCACTGACCAGGCTAACTTACAGCACTATGAAACTACAGAATTTTATGAGATTTTCAGTATCTCTCTATCTAAGACACCAGGTGAAAGCTTAAGACCACAGGAAGGTTAGATCATTTTTTTTTTTTTTTTTTGCTCAAGTCTAAATAGAAAATATCTGGGCAACCAAAAATAAAAATCAGTCTTTCAAATTCACCAAGCCAAAATGCCCACTGATCTAAATGCTAAAACAAAGTAATGTAGCATGCAAAGAAGATACACGGACACACGAGCAAATCCACAGGGGAATTTTAATAGTAGAAAGGCCTTTCTGTTTATACAAATGCATGGAATTTGAAGGAAAAAAGAAAGAAAAAAAAAAAGAAAACCCTACCAAAAGCTATCAAAACCACTGCAGAAACAAGAGTTTGTCACTTTTACACAATAAAACCTGTGCTCACTCATAAGGAATGGTAGAGACACTATAAGATGCGTGTAAGAACAGAACTACAGTTACTGATGCATCATTTTCCAGAAACATTCGTAATTCTAAGCTCTGAACAAAAGAAAAATCAGTCCTTTCTCCACACTGAATGGCAATTTACGCAAGTGCAACGAAAGAGCAAATTACATTGAACAGAATGTTACACTGCACTTAACTATTATGCAACTCTATCCTAAGCATCAAGCAAGGCATTTTTCAATACTGTGAGAGCAGTTTTTAGAGAACTGAAA